AACTAATACAGCTGCACTAATGATGTTTATAATGTACAGTTTGATATGTAATAATTTAATGTTTTATTTCTGCTGTTGGTTATAGATTTAAAATCCTTATCAGGACACACACCATGCATGCACACCTAATAATTAAAGTTTTGTTGTTTTTTAGAGATATAAGAAAAGCTCATGGCATTTTTATTTTTTACTGGAAATAGCATTCCAGATAAATTTCAAGCAAGATGCCTGGTAAACTTATTTTTTCTACAATAATTATATGTTGGAAAAAATATGGAAAGCAGCTATCCTAGCTTGCATGCTAGTAAAATATAGATTGAAGCATGTCTATTGTAAATCAATGATTGTATGAGGAGGTAGCTGTAGGTCGGACTTAGCATGTCAGATGTCGGGTTTATAAAGGGTTCAGTTTAGACAATTACACTGTATTTCAGACTGATGGGATTTGTGAAAATCCAGGAGAAACTTTATATAAGAATGACTACCAATGTATTCAAGCTGACCATGTCATGATAACAGGAAAGAAAAAGAAATACGTCCAATTTAAACCAAGGTCAATACTTTAGTTTACATACTGTCAGGATCCAGCAGGGAGGCCATACCCTAAATCTTTAATCACTAAACTTCCCCATAACTGACAACTGTACCCAATCAAGGGTGCTCTGGTCGAGAGAATCAGATACACAAAAATTTGACACTGACAAGCTATCAACATTTGTCCCCCACAACAAATTGGGAATGCCATACACAAGGTGAGAGTTGAAACCTGAATCGGGCATGCCCCTCTCATTATCTAAATGGGGAGTGTAACTGGTAGTCTACCAGTTCAGTACACACCAACCATACATCAGATAAGATTTACAGTAGAAGATCTAAATGAGTTGCCTACAATTATAACAGTAAATTTAATGCTCTCTTCAATATTCAGTAAACTTTAGCTTCCAGCCATACTTACTCATTCAAATTCTCATGAGTCAGGAGGAGTAAGCAGAAAGTTTTGTAAGTAAAATTGAATGTGTTTGAATCTCAGGAATCTAAATAATTATCAAGTGGCTAGCAAAAACACAAGCACTGTATACATACCAACGTGATCAATCCAAATCAAAGGCATTTTCATTACATTCACAAGAACGTTTTGTGGTGGGTTTTTTTAAGGCTTAATTTAAATGTCAACATCAATGTTCTAGAATATTTTCTCATATGACTTAAAAATAGTTTACAATAACAATCATCAATGTAAGAATCAATGAGGTTTTTCTGTACAATGGGTGAAAGGATGACAAAATAAATTGTTAAACATTTTCAACAGTTACTTAGTCCAGTACACCAGTTCTTATTGGCAATGGTGATGTTGGTAGGGGGAAGGTTACCAAGAATATACATGATATATAAAATTAACATTTCCCATGAAAATTCAGATTATATATTTTCTAAAAATAAATACATATTTTCCCACAGTTTTAAAGTAAACAGATCCTTGAAAATAAAAACAAGGTTATAGAATACATCACTTCCATCATCCATTCATGAACCAAAACCAATATTTTTTTTTTAATTTTTCGTTTCAATTTTGTGAAAGTCTTGCAATATATTTGCCTGTATTATTATAATTGCCCGACTGTAAAAGATAGCAGAAATGTCACAGAAACCTCACTGACAGTACCTAACTAATCCTTTAACATCAGGCAGCAGGATGTCTATCAAACAGCACATCAGCTTTAATTAAACCTATAGACATGTGCAAAATATCAGCTTTACTTATAACATATTTCAATTTTCATCATATATTTACAAGCTTAGATGTGTCTTAAAATACATGCACCTCCAGATTATTTCAGCCGATCATGGCTGTATGTACTCAGGAATCGGTTCAGCGACTCTCACAAAACAATTTTGTCACCCTAATTTTCTAACCCTAGAAAATACATGGTATGGATTCAACTTCGGTACGCTCTGATACAGCTGCACTGGTTGAACCCGTGGTAACTTTATGGAAGATCTGGATGAGTTACAAAGCCTCTCCTTTAAAGAGTAAGTATGTCTAAATCACACATCGACAACAATATAGTGTTGACATTATTGTTAATATACGTTGGTATTCACTACTTTAAGTTCTTTATCATCACTAAATCTACGACACTATTATCAGATTGACTTTGTCGTATGTAAGTTATTAGTTTTGTAGCATGATAAAATTATTTTCACACAACAGATAAGTTTGGAAATACCATTGTTGATTTCATACCAATAAAGAAAAGCTTCTACTGTAATTTTTTGTACGTATACAAAATTGTGAATTGTACTAAACTTTACTATAGACATATATTTGATTAGGGGTGTAGCAATACGCCAAGAGTGTATCACGATATATTGCAATACAGAATGAATATATTGCGATACATATCCCGATATAGGAAGGATGTGCTCAATTTTATAATAACTTGTTGTCACAATGTCATCAAACTTAATCATATATATATATAATATGGATTTATATAACATAGATTTAAGATTTTTGTCAAACCAATCATCGATTATAAAATTTTAACTATTAAAAGCCTGCTTTATGCTTATTGGCATATCTGTTAGAATTTTTAGTAATTTGTCAAGCAGATACATAAAAATATGCTTTTGAAAAATATTGCGATACACCGATATACCCGTGTATTGCGATATACCTACAGGTTTTCCGATATATTGTGACAGCCATATATTTGATACATGCGTAACAGGAGAGTGCTGACATATACTCTGTCACACATGTATGACACTGTTATGACTATATTATGGTCATTTTTTGTAAAATAAAACACAAAAATAATACTTAACAACTCAGGTACATAACATAGAAATTATAGGTCAGTGCAGATACCCTGTTAATAAATGGACACAATTGTTATTTTTGGATATGTTTAATATCATGGTATAGTGCTCTTTACGACATATCAGCATATAAAGTTCAATGGCTGTTAGATGTCGTAAGTATAAGAGTAAACTAAGGTACTAAACATGTCATGTAAACTTGTGCATGAACTGACAAGTGATGAATGACATCACAATGTTATATACACAATGTTATTATAAAGCTCCAGTAATATAAGTCTGCTATAGTTAATATACTTAGGAGAAACCCAATCTAATTAAAATCAGATCCTAATTCCCTCTACGACACTCGTATCCTAATTCCAGTTCCTCTACGACACTTGTATCCTAATTCCTGTTCCTCTACGACACTCGTATCCTAATTCCTGTTCCTCTACGACACTCGTATCCTAATTCCTGTTCCTCTACGACACTCGTATCCTAATTCCTGTTCCTCTACGACACTCGTATCCTAATTCCTGTTCCTCTACGACACTCGTATCCTAATTCCTGTTCCTCTACGACACTCGTATCCTAATTCCTGTTCCTCTACGACACTCGTATCCTAATTCCTGTTCCTCTACGACACTCGTATCCTAATTCCTGTTCCTCTACGACACTCGTATCCTAATTCCTGTTCCTCTACGACACTCGTATCCTAATTCCTGTTCCTCTACGACACTCGTATCCTAATTCCTGTTCCTCTACGACACTCGTATCCTAATTCCTGTTCCTCTACGACACTCGTATCCTAATTCCTGTTCCTCTACGACACTCGTATCCTAATTCCTGTTCCTCTACGATACCCTTCGAAGACAATCAGGAATTAGGATCTGATTTTAATTAGATTGGGATAAACAACACTTTAAAACCACATGTATAAATTACAAGCTAAAGACTCTATTGAAATAAGTTTAACCAAAATAGCCACTTTTTAAATGATAGTAAGATACCAGCACTTTTTTTCTGAAATCCACAGATTACCACATTAATACAACAGTAAGTCCAATAAGGTGGCAAATTGTACCAGCAACATATTGACTGTATAGTTCAGTATAAATGCTTTTATATAGTCCTGTATTAAGACCACACCATTCCTTTGAGTGAGAGGATAATTTAATGATAGTTAATGGCAGATTCTTGTACAAGTTTTTTCAAGTTTATTATTACAAGATTTCATATCACCAGACCAAAAACATAAATTCTTGTTATAAATAAGCATTCTGTTTTTTTCAACAAATACAGTTATATTTCTTATATGACTGTTATGGGGTTTTTTTGTTTCAAAAACATGAAATGAAATAAAACATCTGCATCTGAATTTGTGAATGTTAGAAAGTAAAATAAGGTGCATAAAACACAAATTCATTATATTCCCTACCTGTAAATAATTTTACTCATGCACTGATGGTCCAATAGTTAAACAGAAGTGATCGTACAGTTAAAGAAAAGTGTGTTTGAAAAAGAAGATGACAAATAGTGTGGTAGGGAAATTTAAATTATGCAATAATTTCCATGTAGTAAAATATTGGTGATGTTTCCAATTCCTATGCTTGAAAGAAATTTCAGGAAAACTGCTTTTTTGGAGACAATTATATATGTAGTCATCTATTACTACTTCAAGTACATCAACATGTATTTGTCTGATAGATATTCATTTAAACAGAGAAATTAAGTCTCTGTAAGAAAAATTGGTTAATCTTGACAACTCAAATATCTTTTAATTTGAGATAAGAAAAAAATTGTATGGTACAGAATCATCCTCATCAACGACCCGAGCATTTAAAGACTATCTCAAAACGACGGATAGTCGGCTTTGCATGGTCTTCAATGGAATACACAACGCTATGTATTCCATTTGGAATACACAACGCTGTGTATTCCAACAAAAAGTACTGCAATTTCCAAAAATTCGCTAAGAACTTGGCTTGACAGCAGTGGTTTGCCGCTACTATCATTCTATGTCATGATCATGATGAGTATATATCTGTCTAGCTTGTTCCAGCGGCTTTGTCTACAACTCAAGTTTAAAGGGTCTCAAAGTTGATCGCACGCTGAACTCTCTGATACTTTCGATCGTGTATGTTCTGAAACAAAGTCTGCATACGAAGCAAATAAAAGGTTTTTGATACACTTACCGTTAAAAGTGGTGCATAGTAATACCACTGCGACCAAAATCTTCATTTTCGCATCTTAGAAATGCACGGGCTCTCATTTCAGAGTAAAAACATCCAAGTACAAACCAATGTTTACAACTTTTTCACTGCTTGTAATCAGTGCACAGTTGATCAGATTGGTTGTGTTGAATTTACGAATCTACTCTATTGCCTTATAAAACGAAACGAACCATTCCTTTTTGATCACGCTACGAGAACTTGACGAAGGTCGGAAATAAATGATATCACAGTGTTGTCCTCCAACAGTTATTGGCTTATGTGCTGTTGAGTTTAATCACAAGGTCCGCCCACAAAATTTACAGTAGCTTGCTGTGCAGCTATTTGCACCAACAGCTTTAAAGCTGTCAGTGCCCTTTTGGCCTTTAAAAATAACACAATATATACTTCCGGATTTAATTTACTATTTCCATTCCCGCTTGAAATATTATTTATATTGAAGGGATATTACCAGGTGGTATTGCATTTATTCAATGATTTAATGAAGTTATTTTAATCAGAGACGTATAAATAAGACATGTGGTGGCGGGCAATCAATGCATTTTAAATTACGCATCACTCTTTTCACTTTAAAAATAATGTAATTACAAGATATCACAATTTAGAATAAAATATATAATTAAAATCACATTTCAGCTTGTAAATAAAAAAGATTTTTTGTATTAAGACTGAGAATAATAATAGATCTGACCTAATAAAAGTTTTTTTAATTCAATCATTGACATATATCAGTATGAAAATCTAAAAAGTCTGATACACTGTAAAAAAAAGAAGGCAGATATTACTATAATGAGACAAAATGAGACAAACTATTTTAGTAAATGAAGGTATTTATAAATAAAAAATAGATCGCATAATAGGAGTGGTGGTGATTGCCATTTACCTAGGATTACACATAAAGCCACAAAGTGGCTTATTTCCAATGGGGTCCTTTAAAAATGGAAGAAAAATAATAAAAAATGAAGAAAATCAATCCGGTGACGGTTCAGATAGCACAGAATAGGATATGTGTGTATCATATTCGATAATTAATCAACAAAATTGTATTTCCTAACACAATAATACATAATAATTATTATTTTACCTGATCATCACTAACCCTACAGTACCATTCTTTTTATACATGTACTTCATCATTTGCCAGGCTAAGACTTTTTGATTTGTACTCATCTAGTGTATTTGCTAAAGAAATAATATTTTAAGTTATTCAAAAAAGAGTTCTGAATTCATTGCAAATGTTAGCAGACGAACTTTGATTATAATTGCGTTTCGTTTCAATATGCATTTGTAATTTGTACGAACAGTTAATTTTTAGTAGATTGATGAAATATTTTCGTAAATAGATCATATCAACAACAATTAAATGACGCTATAAATACAAAATGTTGAAGGATTCATCTAAATTATCCTTTTATTTCATAACAGAAAATGATAATATTGTTATATGGGATTTATGAAACATTTTCTATTATACGAAAATAAGAAAACAGGTACTTGTCCTAGCTTTACATAGTCAAAACGAAAATGGCCAAACGATAGGCCTACCGAAAGGCACAGACAGATTTTGAGAAATCACGGCGCCAAACAGTGTTCGACTAAACAAAACTTGTTATTTTATCTATAGTTAAGGCATTTCTGTGTTCATTATGCATTTCTTGCACGATAATTATTATTTCTATCGATTGTCTTGACATAATTGTCTCGGTTGCTAGGAAAGTGTCATGGACGCTTAACTGTCTGAGAACTTTTACACTTTCTTGCCATTTCCAGACGTCTTCTTGACAATCGGTTTAACGTTGTTAAAACAAAATAAAAACTGTACCGTTTGAACAAATTTATATTTTCTGCTGCAAAAATGACGACAGAGGACAGATTTTCCATGACTGCTGAAAAGTATCTGGGTAAGATTTTGCAATGGAAGAATTCATTGAATGTTTTCCACTTATTTAAATCAGCTGCGCTTATGAGTTTTAATAACCATCATTAAAATGAGGAATGTTTTTGAAAAGTCGATACACCATTTTATGTCATAACTTTTCACTATCTGAATCGCCGAGATTGAGTGCCAAAATTCAGCACCAGATTTTACTTCAATAATGTTGGAGCAGGGTGGTCCTTTTCAAATGAGAATATATTAAATGGATTGGATCATATATTTATATTCCTAATACAAGCCTCGAGTAATTTCATGTCTCATTTGTAATAAACCCCTATGGGTTGAGGAAGTACTACATGTTACAGGTATCATGAAACTAGATGTACAAAAGTTGTGACCTATTACTGTGGTGTTCTTGTCAGCAATAATTTAAATTGTGGAAGAACATAAAAAATTAAACCATGTATTCTTTATTTGGAAATTATAAAGATCAAAAGAAACTGCATGCTTGAGCTTCTATATTAAACATGGCATAACCTACATGTAATGGTTTTAATAGCTAGAGGGACTGATAATTAATGTCTAGTAAAGTCAAGTATAAATCACGTACTGTCTTGTGATGTGCAATCTGTTGTATTATTTATTTTTCAGCAAAACACAATATTCTTGTGTATTTAGAAGACAGTGTTGCTCAGCTGTTGGAGCACAGAGAGGAGAACCCTAAAACAAATGCTGTTAAATTCTTCAGTGAATAGTAAGTACAGTATAAATTATGTATATTTGTAGTGGAACTGGACTAAGTCTATCCCTGGTGACCAAGTAGCTGACTTGGTTAGATAAACAGTCTTTATTAAGAAACTTTAAATGTCACTGGACCTCTATTTCTCCCATGTACCCTTCACAGGTGTGTCTCACGTTTTAGCCGGGAAAGATCAGCTTGTCATCCCCTAGGGGGAGATAGCCTCGTGCCGATTAGCACATGTTCAATTGTGACATCATTAAAATGCGTCATCGGTCATTGTGACGTCATCAAAAGTGAATGACGATATGCATACCCCACATGTGTTTTTGTTTACAAACATCACAGACTGCTGTCGGTGGAGTTGTGACTAAAATAATAGGATGGGAGAAAAATAATCATTTCCTAGAGCCTCGGGTTAGACAACCAAAACACATCACCCCTCGGGTTGGAGATTTCTCTGTCACACCCTCAAGGTAGGGGAAGATTCCATTAGTCACATCCATCTTGACAAACATGATGAGTAACTATGACGCTGATCTTGATGACGTCATAACACTGTTACCACGACATCAACACAACACAATGACGTCATCAAACCATGACCTCACAAATTGTGACGTCATCATCATCACTTGGTATTGATACCATTGGGGAAAGCAGTGTTGAGTCTGTTCAAATGACTTCTCCTAGATAACCAAAATGCCCAGGGAACTCAGATATAGGGCCTGTAGCATGCTGGGATGAAGGGCTACCAAGTTTGTTCAATTGAATGACCTTGACCAACTTTCAAGGTAACAGGGGTCAAATGTCTTAAAAGCTTCAAACAACTTCTCAATAACCAAAAGGCCCAGGGTACTGAAATTGGGCCTGTAGCATGTTGGGATGAAGGGCTACCAAGTTTGTTCAAATAAATGAACTTGACTCACTTTCTACCTAATGTCCTTGTTCGACATTCAAGGTCACAGGCGTCATATGTTTAAATCTTTTAATAGGTTCTTATGAATCAAACACTGATATTCTGCTTGTAGCTATACTGTAGTCCACTTTTAAGATTGCAAGTGTGAGATTTTTTGAATACCAGGTGAGCGATGCAAGCCCATTGGGCCTCTTGTGTTTTTTCAAGTCTTTTTTTAAAACACAATTACAAAACATGACATATACATACACACACACACACACACACACACAATTAGAAACTATTCATGGTTCAGCATAACACTCTCTTCACACAACATCATCAGATGATACTACTACTTTTCAATATTTTGCTTTAACTGTGTTTTGTATATGTTTTGTTGTGTTTAGCTTCAACAGTTTACGAGATGGCAACCACACCATGTTTAGAGAGTACAATTTTGTAAAGTCCACTCCACATAACAGAGCCTCCTTTGTTCGACTTTTCTGGAAGTGCTACAGACAGATTGGTAAAAAAGGAGGTCAGTACTAAGTATACATTGACAACAATTACTACATAAATGTACATACAATATTGTTTCAATATGTTATATTTGCATTTTAAGAAATTAAAACATTACTTCAGCTGTACTTAGTGTTGCTTTGTAACAATATTAACCATTTAGCATTATTTTTATACTAATTCATGTTTCAAGAATCTTTTGATTATCAAAAGGATCGACCTCTTATTTAATCTTTATTTGTGGAAAAAAAAACCAGTCGAATCCTGATATTTTGTACACCGTAATTTAATACATGATGTAGTTACGACATTAGCATTCTAGTGTAGCCCTATTTTCTATGTGATTGATGGATTGTTCCGTCCCTTGCTGTACTGTGGTTGTACAGTAGATGTACTTGTTGTTGTGTTGTAGATCTACTGAGTATCCAGGAGTATCACTCTTTGTTGTCACTGTTGTGTCCAGACTTTCCATTTGAACCTGTACAGAAGACTGCAAGGTGAGCAAGAAATAATGACTTGTGATCTATAAAGAAATAATGACTTGTGATCTGTAAAGAAATAATGACTTGTGATCTGTAAAGAAATAATGACTTGTGATCTGTAAAGAAATAAATTTTAGAGGCAAAATAAAATCTTTGGTGAAAATTATATTTCTTATTATAAAAGATATATTTCCTTGTGATAACTGATAAAGGACCTTCGATGTTCTGTTCTCTTATCCAGTATCCGTAGCACCTTTGTTTTTGTTATTGTTAATTTGAAAGAATCTTAAATAAATCTTTCTTATAACAACTGATATACATGGACAGGTCTGATTAGTAATTCAAAACTGATTGTAATATTACTGATTTCAGAATAATACTGCTGGATGATGCCTTGGACTGCCTAATATCCTTCGCTGACTTCATCTATGCTTTCCAAGTACAGTTTTATTATGAAGGTAGATAATGATACACATGATTTTTTGTTTATGTAAACGAAAGTGTAGGCATTTTTTGCTTCATTGTTAAAGCCTGCCATGTTAGTTAAAGTCAAATCCAAGTGGTGTGACATCTTCTTAGCAAGAACTGAGTTAGTGACAATGGAACAACAAAGCAAAAAATTAAAAGAGCATAATAAAATATTTTGACCTTCATAAATCACACAAGAAAATAGCATATCTCGATGCTCTGTGTTGTAAGTTTGTCTGTCAACCATCAGAAATAATGATTTTCTGAGCAAACATTTAAATAGCCATTCAACTGTGACATGAATCATGTCAACACTGTATGTAAGGGAACCGGAGGTGTTGCTATTCAACTGCGACATGATGACACTGTATGTAAGGGAAACAGAGGTGTTGCTATCAAAAAAGGGAAAGTTCACAATCACAGTTAAAAAGTCAAAAGCATCCTAGTAGTGTTTTTGAAACCATGTTCTGGAGGGCACACAGTATATGATGGATGTTGTCAATAAAGTTCTTGTTATTTAAAAACAGCACATCGTTGTAATATCTGAAACTGAAAATAAAGGATTTTACAAGTTTTTGTTACCAGTTTTTCAATAAAAGATCATCATAATTTAGTATTATACAATTCATTTATCATGATTTTACTAACAGAATAAATTAATAAATAAGGATGAGTTTAATCATCAAATAGATAACTGGATGCAATTATAATATGACTATATATATATATATATGACATATTTGTTCTATACATATATACATCTATTGTACTTTATCGTCTCCTCATTGTAATAATAATCATCAAATATTCATACATTTTAATTCGCCAGGCTTAAGTTAAAATATAATGACCAAGGAGTGCTCCCCATCCCCTGTAATGTTTTGTGGGGTTTTTTTTCTGTTTCAGTTTATTTGTTTTTTCTCTTGTGTGTTTGATGTCATAGGTTTATATATATTGTTTTTGCATCAGCGTCTCGGTGTATGTCTTTATGTATGTACATGACATGGGCAATTTTTTGCTTAATATCTGCTTATGTGTTAATAATAATATCTTACATGATGATGATGATGATGATGTCTGATGATGATGATGATGATCTTTGTTTAAATTGTATGAACAATCATGTACTGAGGAACAATGTCATATATGTTTTGTCTTGTCTTGTAAAAAATGAAAAAATAATTANAAAAGAACACTATTTCAATGTTTTAGAGTTTATGGAAAAGTGCCATGAGATTTACCTGTCACTGATGCAGACCCAGCGTAGTCCTCGGGACCCAGTGGTGGTACCATCAGGGACAGAAGACACAAAGGTCCACCAGAATAGCCACCATCCTTCTGATGGCGTTGACGCCATGCAGTATTTCAGGGCTGTATACCCTCTGTGTGATCGATCCACCTTCAGGTAAGTATTTTCTGTATGGACCACTTCTATGCAAAATTCTTAATATTTGACGGAATTTTAATTAGATTAATTACATGTACTGGACCATCAGGTAAATGTATTGTTATTTTTATGGATTAATAAAATAATTTGTCTAGAAAACAAGACATGGAATAGAGTGCCCAAATTATGGTCCTTGAATTATGATGGGCAACGGGAAAGGGAATACTTAAAAATCGCAGTATACTAGAGAACAGAGAAGGGAGTACCCAATAACATTGAAAAGGGAGTATACTCACAATCTTATCAAGAGCACTAGACAACAGAGAAAGCAATACCGGAAATCTTGTCAAGCACACTAGGAAATGAAGAAAGAAGTACTCTAAACCTTGTTTAGTTTACTAGACAACAACAAACGGAGTACAATGAACAAAAAATGGGAAACGGAGCAACACAGCTCTTTTTTCAGTATACTACACAATGACAACAGAAGAGTGAAGAATTTTCGTATTTTTGAAGCAAACGTAGGAATTTATAGAAGGCAAAAGTAAACAATGTGCTTTTAAATTTGTTTGTTAATGTAACATCATGTGAAAATCAAAATTTTGTAATTTTAGTTTGGATGTAGATACAGAAGAATTTGATGATTTTATTTTCAAAATTTTCTAGGCTATGTATTCCAACCTGGTTATGTTAATGGGACCTTGGAAAAACTTTGGAATCTACAGGTACTGAGGGTATCCAAGTTAAAAGGCACCATAAATACTCTCAAGATTTACGATATACAATCAAGATGAAGTTTTAATATATGTTTGTTGTTTACACTACAAATAACCTAACTTGTAACAGAATATCTCATTTATCATCAGCACACCACCAGGAAACTATCTGAAGGAGATTCTGTTTAATGTTCCGAGGGTGTCCTTCTACGGGTTCCTAATGGCCCTTGCTAAGAGTGAATCTATCAACGACCACATAGGTAGGTTTTCTTTGGCACCTGATCCAGTATATGATGGTTCAAGTAGTCACATATATAGTACAATATATGTAGATGATTATATATATAAAGCTTGTAGGAAAGGATGATGTATAGTGCTTTTATATCACAGAGGTCAAATCTGCTTAAAACTTATGGCCTGAAAATATATTCAAAATATTTACCCTTCATTACACATTAATTACCATTGTGATACAGTATAAGTAAGCCTTGACTGTTTTCAAATTAACATGTTTTTATTCAACCTTTTGCATATTATACATTTGACAGTATATTGTACATGTTAAAATTAACATATCTGGTATATAAATATATAGATCTGTGAACAATATACAATGAAAAATTCCACTTTGAAAAAAAAAGGCTTGACTGTTAATAGCATTATAGGGTGAATTTGACAGTAACCAGTCTGATAAGTTAATCCTGCGAAATTAAAGCATTTTTCAGTATCAACAATATGATAGATATAATTTTTTGTCGTCTCTACCTATTTTAAAATCAACTATTTAGACAACTTAGATAGTCATATTATATTATGTAGACTATTTGTATAGCACTTTCAGGAAAAATTGGCCTTGACCTCGTAAGGCAGTAGTTAAGATTATTGTGGCACCATCCTATAATCAGTTAAATTGTATAGATTTACTAGTCATAATCACTTGAAATGAAAAATAATTATGGATACAAAGGAAAATTAGATCCAACATCTGCTAGTGAATGTTCAGCGAAATTCTGCTTACTCCAGTTAAGGGATTCTTAAATGGAGTTCACTAGTCTAGCCACATCCTCGATATCCAGGGGTTACGTTTACGTTTGCTCTCTACACCCCTGGAATATGTCATGGCAAAATAGATGTGCGCCACCTTGTTCAAGACTAATTCCGATCCTTTGATGTACATCAAAAGAATCTCGCGTTCATGTAACGTAACGGTAAAAATTGACAGGCTTTGAAGTCGGGCGTCTCTCCTTTGAAATCTTCAAAGGACAGGTATCAGCCTAGCGATTGGTCAGTTTTTTATACCTGAGACCAATCAAACAGCTATCTTCGTGCCTTCAATGTTGCCATGACATATTCCAGGGGTGTAGAGAGCGAAAGTAAGCGTAACCCCTGGATATCGAGGATGGTCTAGCCAAAAAATTCAAAAGAGGAGATGACCAGACATCATCAAATAGGGAATCTTGGCAAATTTAATTCAGTTTACATAGTTGGCTGTCATTATAACCAAATAATTGTAATGAAGCACCTATTCAATAAAAAGAAAATATGGATACAGAACGACAAGCAAAGAATACATTTTTACTTCACCATATGGTCATTTTTTCTATTTGGATACTTAAGGACACAAGAATGATAACACACATAATCTAAAACATGTAGACATACAGTGGATCCGGAAACTCTACAATAGAGAGATAACATCTCGCATACATATATGTACAGTAGTACAGTAATATGTACAGTAGTGTGTACAGTTATATGTGCAGTAGTACAGTAATTTGTACAGTAATATGTACAGTTATATGTACAGGAGTACAGTAATATGTACAGTAGTGTGTACAGTTATATGTACAGTAGTACAGTAATTTGTACAGTAATATGTACAGTAGTGTGTACAGTAGTACAGTAATATGTACAGTAGTGTGTCCAGTTATATGTACAGTAGTACAGTAATATGTACAGTAGTGTGTACAGTTATATGTACAGTAGTACAGTAATATGTACAGTGATATGTGCAGTAGTGTGTACAGTTATATGTACAGTAATGTGTACAGTTATTTGACAGTAGTGTGTACAGTAGTACAGTAGTATGGTGATCTGTTTACAGGATGGATGCCCCAAAAGTCGGAACTTTTGGAGGGACCAGAGTCGGAAATAGCCTTGTAAGGAGAGCTGGTGTGCTTATTATGTCTTTATTACCAGATCGTTTCAGCACGCCTTTTTTGACTTCAGTACAGTGATACCACAATTATTTGGCACAATTGCACTTAAAACTTTTCTTCTGATTTGTTTTGATTTTTTCCAATAAAAATCCCAGTTATTTTGTTTGTTTAGAGTTTAGAGAGTGAATATGAATAGAAAACCAGTTGTGTTTATATGGTGTTGCACTTTTCTCCCAATACTTTTTTTCCAGAAACTATTTCCTCAACATTGAATAATATACCGATACATTGTATCTAACTTTTTTTTCTATGAACGAGTGTTGTCTTGTTTTCTAAGTATCCCATTCTATTCCTGAAACATTTTATAAAGATGAAATACTTGTACATCAAAACATCAAACAGATGGTATTGTGACCTACTTGAGTCCCACAAAGAATATCAACCAAACATATTGTTTAAATCATATATCACTTATAGTATTGTTATTACCAATAAACATACAAATTTCAGTATTCAGAACAATATTTATTAACATATTACAACAGTAAGAATCATCCCTTAAATCGATATTCAGATACCTGGTAGTTCTGTAAAAATTTGAAAGTATAGGCATGACGTGAAACCAGAACATACTAAAAATAAACTTTTCCAATAAAATTCATAACATGCATATAAGGTTCATTTTTCTTAATGTTTTTTTGTCATTCACAATCGCTTAACTGTCTTTTCTGTCTTGTGACTTTAAAATTCTGCATTGCACTTATTGTAGCTTGAACGTTTTACACTGTTTTCAGGGAGACTCCCTCCGAAGGCTGAACTATTAGAAGGAGCTGACTCCGAATTAACATCGTAAGCTATCCCTTTCTCTCCCATATATATACACCTGGTGTCCCAATGGTTCTCTATACAAATGGTGTGTTTTACTGGGGTAAAGAAGTAGAAGTGGAAGGGAGGGTGAGGACTGATTTTCAATTACAAAATCAGTGTCATTAATCCAGAAAAAATCTTTATTCTGGATACTAGAATTAAGGTAAAATTTTCTTTTAACCCTTTCATCCCTAGGTAACTTGAGTAGACTCTACCATACACTCATCTGGATGAGTCTATTATGGTCTACAGTGGTGAATGGGTTTAACAAGGGGTGTTTATTGCTGGTGAATTATGGTAAAATTTCTGTTCAACAAAGTGGAAGTGGGTGTAGCGTAATACCAAACACAGGCTTAGCATCTGTGATAAAGGGTAGACTCATGTGTGATCTTAATTCACTCCTCCTTCACAAAACCTCAACCCATGTACTTAACTTCACTCCTCCTTCACAAAACCTCAACCCATGTACTTAACTTCACTCCCCCTTCACAAAACCTCAACCCATGTACTTAACTTCACTCCTCCTTCACAAAACCTCAACACATGTACTCAACTTTACTCCTCCTCCAGGATTCCTGAGGACAATTGTGTATTGTGAAACTTTCACCAATCATGTGTTCAAACTTTAATGGTAAAGTCCATATTTGGCCAGTGTTAATTTCACATTTCAGATGTAATTACTATATACATGTATGTATCTATCAGTGTTCCTAGAAACCCTAAATGAGGGGTTTTTCACCGCCAAAACAGTTGGCTGTACCCTCAGTTTTCAAGAATTGCCTTATACATACCTAGGGGGTACAGAATCTTGAAGATCAATGTATCAAATATACCCCAAAATGCAAAATTCTGAGGGAACACTGATATATATTTGATGTTATAATAAGTTAATAAGATCATGATCACTTTATATTAATTTATGTTTTAAAATACTTTATACCTAAGACCTGGCTAAATATGCAGGACGATATTTAGCAATTATGCATGTGATTTTGTGACAGTTTGATCTTAGTTTGAAGGATATATTGGTGTACCATATGACACATTTTACATGTAGTTTATGTTAGTTAAGCTCCCTTAGATAACTGAGGTCAGCATGTATGCATGTATTACTGTGTAACTTTTTCATCATTTAATTAGCCAGGTCCATATTATTGCTCTTAAGCAAAAGTTGATAGTTAATTAATGTTGAAAACCATTTGGAAGGAGAAACAAAACCTCCTTTCTTTACATTTTGCTATGCTAAGATTTGATGAAGGTTAAGCTGAGTAAAGGCATAACAGTTAACCACAGTTCTCAGTTACCAGTAACCACAGTATTTGTACAGGGCACAGTTCAGACTCTACACTGTATGTCTATGATATAGATACATGGTACACATGATTGATTGATTGATTGGTGGGGCTTTACGTCCTTGTTCCGGTTATAACCGAGCCTAGAACAATACATGGTACACAAGATGCTTGTGTGGCTTATAATACTACAGTCAATAATGTTACAGCTCCTGTGATTGGTTGAATGTACAGACGATAATGTTACAGTTCCTGTGATTGGTTGAATGTACAGTCGATAATGTTACAGTTCCTGTGATTGGTTGAATGTACAGTCGATAATGTTACAGCTCCTGTGATTGGTTGTGATTGGTTGAATGTTCAGTAGATAATGTTACAGCTCCTGTGATTTGTTGAATGTGATCAGTCTATAATTGCTGTTCAGAATTACAGTTGTTTACAAAATGGAATCTTTTATGAAAACTTATGAACCATTAAATGTTGAAAAAAACACACAAGTGTCTAACAGATTGTCGATGATAAAATAATAGTAATTTTTAAACTACAGAGAAAACAGTTACATGTGACCTAGATTATGTGTCAGTATGTTGGACATAATATTGCTCACTTAAATTTACTTCAGGCAAATCACATATAGCATCAAAATTACTGAAATATGGAGATTGTAGAGTTATATCTATCATAGCATAAGGCTGGTGTACTTTTCAATCCATTTTGGAAATACTAGGTCAAAGGTCAAGGTCATACTAACTATAAATTAATTGAAATTTTGTGAAAATGATGCTTTCTGGTTGATATCACTTGAACAATACATCCGATCTAAACCAAATGTTGGAAGAGGAATATCGCTGTTAATTTTGAGGTGACAAGGTGGCATATTATGGTATGGAATCTGAACAAATGTTCATTTTCCAGCATAATTATTATGCTTACACCCACAACCCAGGAGCTTCTGTGGGGAGCGGATGTCACTTCTACTGACTATTTTACTCGTTTCAGTAGTGATGGGAAGTGCCAAGACAATCAACAACGTTTGTTACAATGTTATCATTATTTACCAATCAAGTAATGACTGATTATGACTTATAAGTAGTGTCAGGGTTTATGTGAGTTCCATGTTATGAGTCAGGTTCTGAAATAGCAAATTACATTTTCTGATCCAAACAGTTATTTTGTTATATTTATTTTTCATTTTACCATTTTTATATATCACTTAGTCCAATTAAATGAACTAAATGCATTATGCCATAGTACATTTCAATATGTCTTTCAATTTCTTTTTCAAATCTTATTCAAACTAGTCATTGTGATAATAAAAGTTTTTTGACATATCGTTTAAGGAAAGGTCCTCATATGTATGACTCCAAATGAATGTTTTTTTTCTTTTTTTTTTTCTTTTTTGAGTCCAATCAAAGTTCAAAGTTCACATCCATGATCATGACCCCTGATGGGTTGGGTCTTTTTTTCCACTCAATCTAGCAGTTTCATCATGTAGATTGGTAAAAAAGTAGTGCTATTTACTTTTTGTACATATTTGAAATCCAAGATAGCTTTCATTGGTATTTATAAATCATACATTAACAAAATCATAGGTGAGCGATTCAAAACCCTTTAGACCTCTTCTTTCTTGTTGTTGGTAAAAACATTACGATATTTTTATCTGACTGAGGGTTTAAAGTGGCAAATGTAGATCTCCAATGCTTTAAATCTATGAAATCTATGGTAAATATGAAGAAAACAGTTCTCCAGTATATACATATCGGTAATACAGTCACGTTTCTCTTTTTCTCAGATTTCCAAGGATCCATGAGTTGAAAAGTTGTCTAGTCAATGGGAGTATATCTTAATGCTCCTGATACAATGGGGCTAGCGGTAGCACTCGGGGAAGTGGAGCTGATTTCTCTGTCTCATCTCAAAAACAAACTCTACAAACTTTATTGTCAATTAATATGATTATTTTTTGCCACAAAACATTTTTTGTACAGTTTCAATTTTTGTTTTTTAAAGTAATATTTCATGAAGAAGATTTTTTAATGCGGAAAACATAATTATTTGGCTTGTAAAATATTTGTACACAACTTTAATTTGTTTAATTGCTACTTTTTTGAGAAATTTTGTAAGCAGCGTTGCTAGATTATTTGATTATTATCTTCCAAAAATTCAAGAAGTCTATATCATTTGATAGTTTTTGGTACAATACTGTATTGCTTTCATTCAAATGGATTTTTAATGAAATCTATTATTTCATAATTGGATTTTCTCTGTCAAGTATTGGTACAGTTTTATACTGGCATTGTTCTGTTGCTTCTGGTGCTTTACTAGTGGTAGCGGGTTGGAGTGCTGTGTGGTGTGATAACAAACCGTGTGTTATATGTTGTTGATATACAGTTGTTCACTTAACTCATTCACCCCTGAAATTTCAAAATGAACTATTCCAACCTTTGATTTGGAAGAGTTAAAATGTGTCTTCAGGGGTGAATGAGCTAAACCCTCCAGTCAGTATGCTTTATATATATTCCATATTCCAACTATTGCTAGATGCCTAAAGGAAGGTACAGATAACTGATTTGTGGCTGAGCCTTGTTCTTGTAAATTTCAGGGGAAGTAACTCTAATTATAATATGCGATTGTGAAAGTAGACTAATTACCATATTACAGTGTACATTCCAAAGACTAAGAATATATAGAACCAAGATTTACCATTTGTGTCCTTGATGACAATTCCAAATGTCTTGTTTGTAGACGACTCTCACATTTGATTGATCACATCCCCCACAAAAAAATTCCAGCAGGGAAAAACAAAATCTCTTCCAATCAAAAGTTTTGCTCTCCAAAAGGCCCATGCAGTGTTTTTGATTGTTGAAAATCTATACCCACCATGTGTTTATCCAGCACAAAGTAGACAGGATGCATTTACTAGAATCACCCTAAGCGTATGTTTTTCAAAATAGTTATTGATCTTGTTTTGTCCTCTTTCTGAATAACATTTTTAAAGGCGTGCAAATAAAACGTTTTAACAAGGCAGTGAACTTGGGGATGGATGTTATTTTTTAACAAGGGGATGAACGTGGGGATGGATGTTATTTTTTTAACAAGGCGGTGAACTTGGGGATGGATGTTATTTTTTAACAAGGGGATGAACGTGGGGATGGATGTTATTTTTTTAACAAGGCAGTGAAATTGGGGATGGATGTTATTTTTTAACAAGGCGGTGAACTTGGAGATGGATGTTATTTTTTAACAAGGGGATGAACGTGGGGATGGATGTTATTTTTTTAACAAGGCAGTGAACTTGGGGATGGATGTTATTTTTTAACAAGGCGGTGAACTTGGGGATGGATGTTATTTTTTTAACAAGGCAGTGAACTTGGGGATGGATGTTATTTTTTAACAAGGCAGTGAACTTGGGGATGGATGTTATTTTTTTAACAAGGCAGTGAACTTGGGGATGGATGTTATTTTTTAACAAGGCAGTGAACTTGGAGATGGATGTTATTTTTTTAACAAGGCAGTGAACTTGGGGATGGATGTTATTTTTTAACAAGGCAGTGAACTTGGGGATGGATGTTATTTTTTAAAAAGGCGGTGAACTTGGGGATGGATGTTATTTTTTTAACAAGGCAGTGAACTTGGGGATGGATGTTATTTTTTAACAAGGCAGTGAACTTGGGGATGGATGTTATTTTTTTAACAAGGCAGTGAACTTGGGGATGGATGTTATTTTTTAACAAGGCAGTGAACTTGGAGATGGATGTTATTTTTTTAACAAGGCAGTGAACTTGGGGATGGATGTTATTTTTTAACAAGGCGGTGAACTTGGAGATGGATGTTATTTTTTAACAAGGGGATAAACGTGGGGATGGATGTTAATTTTTAACAAGGAGGTGAACTTCGGGATGGATATTATTTTTTAACAAGGAGGTGAACTTGGGGATGGATGTTATTTTTTAACAAGGCGGTGAACTTGGGGATGGATGTTATTTTTTAACAAGGGGATGAACGTGGGGATGGATGTTATTTTTTTAACAAGGCAGTGAACTTGGGGATGGATGTTTTTTTTTAACAAGGCGGTGAACTTGGGGATGGATGTTATTTCTTAACAAGCAGGTTAATTTGGGGATGGTTGTTATTTTTTAACAAGGAGGTGAACTTCGCGTTGGATGTTAATTTTTAACAAGGAGATGAACTTTGGGATGGGTATTATTTTCTAACAAGGATGAAGACTTGGGGATGGGTATTATTTTCTAACAAGGAGGTGGACTTGGGGATGGATGTTATTTTTTAACAAGGAGGTGGACTTGGGGATGGACATTATTTTCTAACAAGGAGGTGGATTTGGGGACGGACATTATTTTTTAACAAGGAGATGGACATTTTTAGTTACATAATATTTATGTTAATTTTCTACAGATGACAGACTAATGACATTACCATTACTATGTTTACAGTAAAAAGCCAACAAAGTAAGTTATCAGTGAATCTGAAGCTGATATGTCTATATACACACATCAATATATGTAACCTCTAGTCCAATCCTTCCTGCTTTAGTTTTATCCTTACATATAGTTCCCTTGTTAGCCACAGTTTTTGTGGACCAAAACTTCTTGAATTTCAGTTATGAAAGAAAATAATATATTGCAAAAATGTATACATTTTACCTTATTTAAACAGAGTTTTTGTTTTGCCTAAAAAAGTACATGGACACTGAAATTTCAATTCCTTGTTTTTATGTTTCTTAGGTTGTGATGAAATAAACAGCTATCCAGTTATCTTAATAAAAATACTAATAAAAAATGACTCGCTGAACAAGAAAAATCAACCAGATTTAGGTAATAAATTGTATAACATATCTGTCAAAATTGTGTCCGATTAGGGTATGGAGAATGCCTGTTTCTCGAGATCTGCCCGTCAAATCTGTTCACATGCCTGTTTCTCGTGTTCTGCCCGTCAAATCTGTTCGCAGGCTCAGACTGAGTTTGAAATTGGGCAAAAATATGTAAAATTATAAACCATACATCACTTTAATTGATTGATGGTTTCCATTCAATACCCTAACGAATATTTTCAGATTCTGATGAAACCTTGAAATAAATTAAAAAAGGAGCAAAGTTTACCTTTTATATATATGCAGCACAAAGGGAGGTAATCCAAATAAATTAAATATTTGTTTTTTATTCTTTGAAATAAGGCAAAGAGGGGCAGTGTTTCCCCTTCCATCACAGCCAAATAATTATAAATGGAATGATGAGGAACACCTGAATTAGTTAAGTTTTAGAAATTCCAATGAGCAAAGAATTAATTTATAGTTGCCTAGTCAAAAAATAATTCTTTATTTTACCAATGTTAGGAGAGAAAGTCATAGAAGCTCACTGCTTATTTTCAATTGCTTGGATTATTTCAGAAAAACCTGTCAAATCTTAGACCCTCTTGGATCCGACAAGGAAGTGAAAGATTAATTAAACCTGCATTATTAATTAGCTTTCATAAGAAATGAATTGCAGCTGTATGTCAGATTTGACAGTTGACAGAATACTCAGGGGTTGGATAAGGCAGGTTTAGCTGTATATCTATGTATGTTTGCTAATTGCAAAACAATTAATGGTAATGATTATTAAATAAGTTTTTTTTTTTTATCAAAAATGAATATATTTGTATCAATGGGCAAACCAAACTTTTAGTAGCAGACAAGCACTCGCTCCTTCTATAAATTATGCCGATGTTCAGCTCCTTACCAATTATATGTGGACTTTTCCCCCCAGTCTGATTGTAGAAATTCAGTTTAAAAATTTTCTCAATATAAGTTTTGTTTTTTTAACTGAATTTTTCATGCAGAACACATATAATAACTCCAAACAAGCCATACAGGGGCCCCTCCCCTCCCCACACACAAACACATACACACCAACACACACACACACTTGTCATTGGCCAGCCCTCCTCCATTGTGGTGTAATGATTCATGGTAAATGGGAACCTCATCAAAAATAGGAATCTTGTATAGTATTTCCAACAAAAATGGTTATTATGTTTATCCAACTCTAATAAGTTAATTTTAAAATAGTATTTTATACAGTTTTTAACAAACTTGTGTTAAATGAACATTAGATAATCCACCATTAGTTGCAGAAGAACTTCTGTCGGTGATGTTTAGGTAGATCAGTGCCAGTAACTATCTATTCTGTACTTCAGTCGTGTACATTTCTTTGCAGTAATGTACGTATAACTGTGTGTTTGCATGCTTTCCTTCGTAGACTCAATATCTTCCCAAAGACAAGACCTATAGCCAATTCACATAAATATGGTCAAAGCAATTTCTTCCATAACATAATCTTTATAATTAAGACTGAGCGTTTTAACTAAAAATGGTTTTAATTTCATAAAAAAATGTTCAGATTAACATTTTGTGATTTAAAAAAAAATATTAACAAAGTATTGAATATAATTAAAATTTGAAAATTTTTGTTCAAAAGATTTTCTGTAAAAGAATTTGAATAATTATTTGGACATGCAGATAAAGTTATAAATTTTTCTTTTTGTCTTTGTGTTATTTAGAGGAATATGATTTTGAATTGAAAGAATTTAATCGGAGATACAAATTCATCCCCACAATGCATCTGGTCATGCTAGGCTTACAAGTATTTCAGTATATCCAGATGCTCTGTGATTCTTTCTCAGGCCACCCGTACAGCTTGCTAAGTAAGTATGGAGGTTAGTTGTTTACAAGTAGAATAGTCACACAAAATACAGTCTACACTACTTTATGAAGTTCTTGCATGCCTTTGGCCTCATAAAATAGTTTGCCTTCAAGGGTAATAAAAAAAACTATTTGCCTCCTGCCCAGTCTATAACTGTATATAAATTTATCACAGGGGGCCATCTAACACTTAATCATAATTATTTGCATAAAAAATGTTTAAGTCTACCGGTATATGTTTTTGTTGTTATTATACCTTTGTAGTCATGCTTGCCTTCTCTCCCTTAGGTGGGTGACGTATTTTCAACCAGTGAATTATTGCTAAACTGTTCCTGTAATCTAAGAACTAATGATTTTATCTGAAAGAACAACTCAAAATATGTCATTTTTGAAAGTATTGTCTCTAGCAGGTATATACACACATTCTATCTATGTTTAAAATGTCTTAAAAAACAACATTCCAAGCCACAAGATGCAAACTTTTACTACCATTTGCAGTGATATCAGTATCTTGGTTGATACAGATGTTGGTTACAGATTCTTGTAAGTTTGTAACCCCCCCTCCACGGGATCTATATTTCTAGTGGTGGTCGTAAGGTCGACACAAGCGTTAGTCTAAATGTTGGGCTTAATAAAAAATAATGTTGCAGAATGGACACTCACGAAATATAGTCAATGTATTACATATAACGCACTAGTATCCCTTGAAGGCAGACTGTAGTCCTTGGCCTCGGGAAAGAGCTTACCACTCAGTGAAGTGGGACTCTTGCTGGTCAAAAAAGTAACATTATCCCAGTGAAAATATCTACCAATACTTTGTTTTAGTATTTTCAATGTCTTTCCCGCGAGTTACTTTCTTTGGTCACTGTTGCCAATCAAACTCATAAGATATCTGTATAATTAGCCATTATACATCAAAGAAACTTGACTCGGTAATTGTGCAATGATCTTCTGACCATTTACAAACTAAAACGGATGGAAACCCTTCCTGAGAACACTGAAAGTTCACTCCAAAGTTGCTGTCCATTTTCTGACATTCTTAAAAGCTTATGTTATTTACAGGTTATAACGCAGTGCTACAAACCAATAATTTATTCGGGTATAATTTTTTTATTAAATGACAGTATTTATCATTTATTTGCCATACATTTTGCTTTAATTGCCAGTAATCATATATATAAGTTTATATATTAATAGTATTTTATCATATTTAGTGAGATAAGTGGCATTTACTACAATAACGAATTATATTTATCCAGGTGATAGTCATATTTCAGCTTGAACAATCATTGTTTTAACTTTAAAGGACAGTCACCTTTTGAGTCTGGAGTAATATTTTTAAGCCAATTTTTTCAATGATCGTCTTTATGTAATATATGTGTTCAACAATGTAAAAAAATTGTGTTCAGAATGTTGTGTGGATCGAAGTTTGTATATATATTTTTTTGTCACCTGTCTGAAAGTAAACCCTGAATTATGTTTGGTTAGTTACCAGTTTGTGTGTTATACAGGTGAGAATGGGGTAAACCCTTCGTGTATACTGCCCCCGTTTGTATTATCGTGTATACTGCCCCCGTTTGTATTATCGTGTATACTGCCCCCGTTTGTATTATTTTAATTAAGCATTTCATAGACTTAGGTGTCACAACCGAGTCTGGGATTATAAAAAAGTTTTGGATTACAAAGGAGTTTGCAATTATAAAGGGTTTTGGTAATGTTTTTAAGGGAGGAATAAAAAGAAATATTCATAGGGAAAAGGGAACTTTGAAGTATGTGTAAAGTTTGGCAATAAAGTGGGTTGGAAAACAAAGTGAGGGACGTTATATAGAGGTTTCTCTGTATAAACATATTGAATAATCTCCACCTACTTTGCCTGGTGTTCAAAGAGAAACAATTCTCACCAATGTTGTTAACATTGCCTACAGGCTATTTTTCTGTCATAATTATTTTGGTTGAAAAGTCCTCCATGAAATCTAAAGCACCTAGACTTTCAGAGAGATGACAAATTAATTTTCTACATTGGTGGACAGGTCAGTGATATGTGTTTACTTATGTGGTTACTGATGTAGGGATTTGAATGTATGATTTTGCCAAAGAAATCAAGTTTATACATATATATTAGTAATTAGTTCCATGTACATTTGTAAAATATGTTTATAATGAACACATGTGATTTTAAGGCATCGTCCCTTGGACATCATCAAATGCACGTACGGTCAGCTGTCCACTAGGTATCGTTCCTTGGACATCATCAAATGCATGGTCATCTGTCCACTGTTGGGTTCTTTATAAACACGTTTATAACTGTACATATTGGTACTTAGTTATTACATTTTATACCTAACCAAGAATGTATGTACAACAGATTATGTTTTCATATATACAGTGGATTTTATAATATATAGAGCTTGTATAATTTGTTTGAAATAAAATATACCAGTTTTGTTGAAATGAAATGTGAGTTATGTAGTTTTGATATACATATACACCATTTTACCTCCTTCATGTTTCCATGTATTTTAATATTATGGTACATGCATCATAATTGACCTTTCAGATATATTTTGTTTACCTGTTTAACAGATCATCTTTAGACTTTGTTGATAGGGTAATTTTTTCCAATCTGATTTGATACATGTACATAGATGGTATGGAACCTGAAAATGATCTTTTTTACAGAAAAAGTGAAAACAATTGATGATCATGTTCTCTGCAGCCCGTTTTATCAGAGAAGTTCACTTACAGGATAACATACATTATAAGACAGGAATGCCTATAATATGTAGTAGCGATTGATGCTGTATTTATAGAGTCCTGGAAGGCAACACATAATCTTATATAATTTCTGTTAGAAGAAATGGTTTTATGAAGAGATCTATATTATATGTCAGTTTTGTGTTGCTTTGAACTTGACTTTTATAATTGTATACACGCTGATGTTTGACCTCGACTATTATAATGTATACGTGCTGATGTTTGACCTCGACTATTATAATGTATACACGCTGATGTTTGACCTCGACTATTATAATGTATACATGCTGATGTTTGACCTTGACTGTTATAATGTATACATGCTGATGTTTGACCTTGACTGTTATAATGTGTAAGGGCTGATGTTTGACCTTGACTATTATAATGTATAAGTGTTGATGTTTGACCTTGACTATTATAATGTATACGTGCTGATGTTTGACCTTGAATATTATAATGTATACATGCTGATGTTTGACCTTGACTATTATAATGTAAACCTGCTGATGTTTGACCTTGACTTTGACCTTGATTATTATAATGTACATGTGCTGATGTTTGACCTTGACTATTATAATGTATATGTGCTGATGTTTGACCTTGACTATTATAATGTAAACATGCTGATGTTTGACCTTGACTATTATTATAATGTAAACATGCTGATGTTTGACCTTGATTATATATAATACACACTGATGCATGACCTTGGCTGTTATAATGTATCCTGAAGCTTGACCCTGAATATTACAATTAATCTATGATGATGCTTGACCTTGACTAATATAATGTAAACTGAAGCTTGACCTTGACTATTACAATTTTTAAGTGACGCTTAACCTTGTTTATATACAAGGAATATAGACATACTTTGTTTTGCATGTTACTGTTTTTAATCATGCTTGACCTAGATACTGTAAAGCCATAATGGCCTTGACTAATATAATATTGATATAAAGTATATACTATATAGCTACTTGATGTTGTTTGATATTGTCGATATATTTATTTACTATTTTGAATTATTTTCTTTTGTATATGTATTAATAATTCTTTTCTGTATAAAGTGTGTTGTGTGACCATGTTGACCATTTTACAGAAATCCTAGCGGTCAAACTGTGGCTATTAATCCTCAACTGACAGTGCCAAATCCCCAAGCTCATGCCAGGTATCTATCAGCTGCTGATGTGAAAACCTAATTTGTCACTCAACATTGCTTTGCAAATTTTATTGTCTTGAAATTTGGCAATTACACTGCCTTGCGTTTGATCATTGCTACTTATCTTTTTAACATGAAAATGTAATGAAATCAAATTTAATATGTATTCCTTATAAATGACATTAAATCGGTAAAATTGCTTACATGACACACAATTAATTTAAGCAGTTTACCCAGTCATTTGCACAAACAATAGAGTGGTACCGTATTTGCCGTGAGAGTCAACCCTCACCCTATATTTTATCAGTAAGAACATGCCTGGAGCACCTGAGTGTTCAACACTGTACCCCCTCGACCAAACTTGTCACCAGGTTTTTATACCACTGTAGTCCTTATATAATGGTCTCCATAGTTTCAGATACCCTAATCTTAACCCTTTCAACCCTATGTAATTTTAGTAGACACTTCCACCCATTGATCAGGATGAGTCCATTATGGTCTACAGTGGTGAAAGGGTTCAGGTTATAGCCCATAACAGACAATGACTAGTGCTTTAAAGTAGAAAACAGATGCAGATTATCTTCAGTGGTAATAATACACTCGTTGAAAGACAGGTGTAATATGTTATGTGGGTGGACAGGTAGGTGGGTAGGCACATAGTGTCCGCTCGATATGTTGAGTACTTTTCAATGGATAACTTTAAACTTCAGAAGAAGGTACCACGAAACCTCAGACAAGTTTGATAACCAGAATTATCCAAGCATATTTTAAGGAGTTACTGCCCTTTACTTATTTGCCAAAAGAGTGTTTGCTCCATGTCTGAAGTATTTTTCAACAGATTAACTTCAAACTTCATATATAGGTTAATTACCATGACAACTTGGACAGATTTGATGAACAAAATTATCTTACTGTAATTTATGGAATTACAGCTCTTTATTCAACTATTGAAACAGTGTCTGCTCAATATCTTGGGTAATTATCAACAGATAAAATCCAGCCTTCATAGGTAGGTTGATAGTCTTGATAGTTGTGAGAAGTTTGATAACTACATTATCAGACTGTTATTAACAGAGTTATGGCCCCTTATTTCACTGCTGAAACATACGGCAAATATGGTATACTTTATTACATTCACACATATTGTACACTCTATATTTATATAACATTATATATTGATATTATGTTATCTTCAGGTCAAATTATCATCCAATAAAAATATATGCGATATTAATTACTAAAATATAACTTCATAATTCATTTCTAGAAAGCACAAGAAAAGAACAATTGATTCATTACCCTATTTTAATTTAGAAGCTTAATCAGGGGGGGGGGATGTTTACTGCACATAGTCCTGAGCTTTTCAACCATTAAAACTTGTTCAGTTAAGGCACAGGCAAGTAGGCTAATGGTATTCTCTGTAAAAATAGGATTAATAAAAAAACCTTATTCAGTTTAGTACCTGTTTATAAAAGAAAACAAAATAGACTTGATTTTCTAAAAATTCCATTTTTAATGCTTTGCTTCCAATTCTGTTTGAATGATACTCGGCAACAGTGGTTATCAGAGTTAAGAATATATTTTAAGAAATAAAGTAAGGAAAACAAACATTGTAGTATTCATATTTTTTCAGGAAAAAGAAAAAGTCTCACTTAACTTTGGTGCAAGTATCGGATATTTCCCACACATATTTACAAATATTTGCAAATAAAAGGAAGCAAATCCATTGTTTGGAAAATGAGGTAGAATTTTCTTATTGTAATTTTGTAGAAATTTGTATATTTGGGTTTTGCTTAAAGTATACATAACGTATATACCGGTATATGTAGATGGTAAAAGCAGGTAGAGAATTTGTATGTATAATGCACATGTCTTGTCAGTAGTTAGGTCAAAGGGTAGAACTGATGTTGTAGACTTGAGTCACAGGGCCTTGTATATTTCTTTTATCTTACTGGAGATATAAAAAATATGTACGAAGGGTCGTCAGTAATCCGGACACCTTCACTCCAAAAAAACCTAACGGGATAGTGAGATAACTTGGTTACTGGTACATTTTAACATAGGGAAAGATATATGGGTCTCCTGAAACACTACGATGCTAGCTGCATAGATGGACCAGGAAAAAATCTTTTCCCTAAAACACTGGCTTAATAGTGGGACAACTTGTTTCCTAAAATACAGGTTGGATACTGAGAGAACTGGATTAGTACTGGCTGGGTTAGTGGTGGTGGTGGTTTGATTAATGTGTATTGACATAGTGTAAGAATGGGTATTTTGGTGAGGTGCTCTTATCCAATGTTCTCTTCATAAACTCTGACAGACACATTCATATTGTCAGTAATTAATTTTAAAGCAGTTTTTGAAAAATTATGTATGAAATGAACAGTGTGTAAAGAGTGTAAATCACCTCAGCATGTTAATGTTTACACCGATCTCAATTTACTGTACCCTGTGAGCCGAACGAAAAAGAATGTTACAACCCCCTGTGACTTTTGTTATTTCATGCATGGGAACTGGTAGTATTTTTATCACCCAAATGTAGATAAACATCGCATATACATTACTACACCTATAGATAGAATTAAATGTGGCAACTTCATATTTTTTTTTCAATATTAACATTGCTTATTTTAGTTAGTTTTTTTTAAATAAACAAAATAACAGAAAATATAACAAGTAAAATGTGAAGGAAGCAGTGAATTTTTTATCAGAACTTTTTTTTCACATTCTTCTTTTTTCACCCTTTTTAAGTGTTGTCTCTGTAGTTTCAACACTGTAAACTAGGTGACATTTTATTTATGCCTAATTAATAGGTGTTACTAATTGATCATAATCTGGATCATGAGTCATTGTAAAGACTACCTTTTTTATTTTGCTTGTGTGTAAACTAACAGATTTTCATGTTTTATTGCATGTCCATTGTGCTTCAGACCTAGGTAAAGATTTGTTTGTATTATCTGCTTATTTATTTCTGTAGACAAAGCTGCAAATGTCTATATTCTGTAAAACACTTTCATTTCTCCAATAATTTCACCACTCGCTACCCACGGCTTTATTTTATATAGGTAATTTCACACCGTGAAATAACCTGACATGGCATGATATCACACGATTTTGGTTTAATAATTTGTGTGTTGGGTGGAACAGATTGAATGTGATTTATATTCACTTTATATTCCATGAGTTAAATCTCAATTTTAACCTATAATTGAAGGTTGTTAGTTATAATACTTGATAATTAACTCACTGTAATGTATACAACTCCAAACCAACCTTCGCTTCGTTGATATCTTCTATATGTCATGCCGTATTTAACCTGTAGTAAGCCAGGGGGCCAAACAAGTGTTGGAAAAGTAGGGGTAGGTCTTACTGCAAGACAAAGAAATAGCATGTGATAGTATTGATTTTACTGGACTGTATTTGATATGGATGGGCTTATTACAAGGCATGGGCATATTGCTGGACAAATACAGTACATCTATATTAATACATAGTGATGCTGGTTGATTGTCATGCTATTCCGTCTTTGCGTATAGCAGAGTTATCTTCTCTTGTGAGCAGGTATTGATTGTTGCGTCATTGGTTTGTGTGAGAAAATTACGTTGTTTTCTCAAAAATTGATGACGTTACTCTCACAAACAAATAACGTAACAATCAATACCTGCTCACAAGAGCAGATAACTCTGCAATACGAAAAGACGGAATATATCATTTGATAGTATTGGATGGGCTTATTATCAGGCATGGGCTTATTGCTGGACAAATACAGTACTTCTATATCAATACATTCTGATTCTGATTGACTGTCTATATAACATTTCTCTGAACAAATGTTTTTATTTCTTAGTGAAGTTTCTGACTGGTGACACTTATGTTCATCCCTACAAGTGCACTTTCTCCTGTCCGTGAAAAATAAAGGAAGAATGTTTATCTATAACGACAGCATAAATAATCTAAACAGGCTCACATATAATTCCAGTCTAATAAATGTTGTCAGTAAGTGATATTTAAATTTAGACAATTTGACTGATTTTGATAGAAAAAAATATAGAAATTGACAAAGTGGCTTTATTAATATTAGTATTTTCTAATTTCCTACACCCTCATTTTTCTGATGTGCAAAAATTGTACTATCAAACAAAAAAGATGGGATTTGTGCACCTATATTTTTGAGCTGAGTTTCTTCTTGTATTTTCTTGCACAAGGAATTGTCCCTAGGCCTTCTGAAAGTAATATTACTAATATAGAAGTAATATGAATGAAGCATCAAGTTTGCACCCACAAGTTATTTCTGTATGCAAACATTTTAAACAGTATTATAGTGAAGATTTAAAAAGCATTGTGATGCCTTTTCATGTTTTGAAAACATGTACTGCACTTAGTATTCTTCTGAAATTTTATATCAAATTTTATATGTATGTACATATCTCAAGCTGCTAAAGTTTGGTTTGTAATCCTAGATGTAGTCAGATGCATGGTATACATTTTAGCATAGTCATCTCAATATATCTACTGATGAATTTACTATATTTGTAATATTATTCAAATATGCATGTATTTAAATATTCTGTTTGAAATTCATTTTAATATCAAGGAATAAAATAATTCATTGAAACTCTGCATGATTATTATAAAGAAAATAATTTTATATAATTTTATATATATTTTTTTTGCATATAACTTTACAAAGTTCACAAAAACATTGAATGCTGTATAATCTTTATTTTCTGAAAATACATTTGATTTGTAACTGAATGATTCTAAGATTATTACTTTTTCTTTCCATATTTGTACCATTAAACTTGCCTCAAACACACAATGAACAAAACTTCCTGTCAGATTAGAAATGTTTTAGATTTACTCAGGTTCTACATAGAAATGTATAAAGCACAACTTTGCTGACAAAGGTCAGTGTAACAGGTCACAAGTACACAAATCAAGCTCATGCAAGGTTCCAGATTATATAGGGTTCGGTGTAGAGAAGTTACATTTAGATGTTTAGGAATAGGTTAAATGATATATACAGGATTGAGTTTACACAGGTTACACTCAACATAATAAAATGATCGCTGCAATATTCTAATTTCCTAATCTCCTGTGTACTTTCTGTCTTCATGTGTGTGTATACCTTACCCTTGATGATAAGTGCTTACCTGTGTTAATTATCACGACCTATCTGCCTCACTGTGTTATATTATCACGACCTATCTGCCTCACTGCTGCACACTATATAATATAATCAGCCTGTGAACTGAATTATCTTTTATATAGTCATAAGCACAGATACCCGTGAGATGTTTTAACATTAACTGTTCTATATTAATTTGTGCGCAATTTCCTTTCAGAAACTATGTTTACAAGTGAAAGAGACTGTGCAGAATTTCCGTTTAACAAATGAAAAGTTTCAGATTTGTATGATAATGGAAATTACATCTCTGCATGTTTTTATTTTGAGATTTGTTACCGATTTTAGTTCTCTGGATTTATTGTGTACAGTCAAACATCATCAATCCGAGCTCCATTAATCTTGAGAAAAATCTTTATACCTTTGTACCTACTATTTTTACTTGTTAATAATAAGGAAATTTGCATTCCAGAAGACTATATGTATTGGCAGCTGATGATCACATTTCTCAAAATTAACTATGGTCCATCTAGAAATATCTATACTGCAAAACTGTCGATCAAATTTCCACCAGCATAACCACATAGTTAATACTCTAGCCTTTCACAAACTTCAAAGACAGTTGGGGTTTATCGTTGCCTGGAATTTTCAGAGAAAGAGTGTTTTTTCTTCTTTCCCACACATCATCAACACGATGTAATGAAGACAGACCCCAACCCCCACCCCGAGTATACAAAACAGCTAGGGGTGGGTGTCCTGTGCCTGTGTTGTAACCTTTGAATGAGGTGGTTCTATAAAAAAAATACTGCCTTTGGAAGCATGGGGAACCCAATTATAACATCTCCAGCACAAGCAGGCTTATACATGAGATATTAACCAGGTTGAAAAAAGACTAGTGGCTTGCACATAAAGATACAGCTCCTGCGCAATACTAAATTGAATTGTTTGTGTTGTTAATTTCCTAAGAATGATTTGTTCACTTGTAGAATCTTTGACCAGATCCTACAAAATTCTTCAATGAATGTGTGTTTCAGTGTTGGGACGAACAAGGTTTGACTTTGGGAATATCATTTAAATGGTAGACAGGGTTTGTTTTGTTCGAGTGCTGAAAGTTTTTGTAACTGGAGTTATTTAAAGTTAAGCATTTTATCAGTTCAGTTGTAAAACAGTTATATATGAAGGATACAAAAAGTTTTCAATTGTATTTTTTCAGCCCAACAATTCGAATGAAAACCAAGACAAGGCCAGTATCAGCGACGGGGAACAGCAAGATTAGCACAGATCGTGTCTCCAGTACACAGAACGTGTACACCACACAGCCACCCAGTGGCTCCCTCTCATCCCATTCTGTCAAGGGAAAGAACTCTCATATCAATTCAAGGAAAACAAAGAAGAGAAAAGACAGTTCAGATGAAAGTAGTTCGGATTCAGACACAGAAAGCAGTGATGACACAAACTGAAAAATTACATTTTGAAATGATATTGTATGATATTGTGTAATGTTAGCACATAAAATAGTGTGTATTGACACAAAGACCTATGTTACCACACCGACAGATTTACAGCGTTTTGATCAACATTGATACTCACTGACCAGTTGCAATTTTTGGTGTAGGATTCACTACTCTCAATGTCCTATTCACACACTGTGGTTTGGTCAAAACGAAATGCCTGATTTATTTGAAATTTTATACTCCGTTTATGTACAATAGAAATATGTGCACTTCATAGAGAGTAATGAAAATATTCCTGATTCATTTTTTAATCATTCCGTTATAAGTAATGCATTGGTTGTCTAAAAATCTACATAAAATTTAAAAACAAATTATCCAGTTTGGATGATTATTTCCTTTTTATAAACCACCTAAAACTAGAACCTGTAACATTTGGGGTTATTTACCAAAGTGGGGAGGGGTTTTATTAGTCATTTTTAAGTAGGTGCATATTTGTGGTCAAATACAGTATACCAGTGATTTTATGTTAGAGTTATCTCCCTTTAAAAATGTTATCATTATACTATTCCGTTTTTGCGTACAACAGAGTTATCTTCTCTTGTGAGCAGGTATTGATTGTTTCGTCATTTGTTTGTGAGAGAAACATCATCAATTTTTGAGAAAACGACGTAGTTTTCTCACACATACCTGCTCACAAGAGAAGATAACTCTGCAATACGCAAAGACGGAATAGAACATTCTTGTGTTCCTTCATAAATAATTACTAACACAACTGGATGACCATACAGGATTGATTTTCTGCCCTTACAATGTTTAGTGTTTTCCTTTTCCATCAGTCTGTTCGTACAACATAATTGTTAGACTTCGTGTTTTGTTCAATTGCACTTTTACCAGATGTTAAAAAGTTATCAAACTTCACATGTGGATAAACTTTGAGGGATCAGTGTCACCTACATTTATTCAATCCATGTACTGACTTTGTCTTTGGCTCAGGTTCTGTCAAAGTGGTTGTAGGGGCATGCGCATACATATATTTTACAGACATTTTCTAGTTTTAACTGGTTTGTCAGTGTGAACTCCTACCAGAAAGGAGAACACTGTCACTGTGTGGGGTGAATGATGCAATACTGTTGACAACTGTAAATAGTTATTTTTGGTAAATGTACATATTTCTATTTATTCGCAAGATGCCCATCACAAATTGCAATATTTCATGAAGGTCTGCATTTCAGCACATGCAAACAACATTTTTGTATATAGATTCTATATTAAACTTCTTTTCAAAGATTTATTTTAATGAATACACTGGAACATTAATTTTAAATCTTTTGACAGAAACCTTGCTCAACATACCCGGTAAACTCCATTTATTGGGAGGTGTATTTTCTATCAACTGTTTTTACAGAATTTCAAATTATTTGTAAGGTAATTGATTATTTATTTCTTAAATAAATCCCCCTCCAAAATCTATACATTTTGTGTCATAGCAGCTACAAAGTGTATTCATGTGTCTGTTTCTCTTTGTTATTGAGAATTAGACTTTGTATGAAGTTGGTTACGTACAGGACAGTGTAGAAGTAAAGTAGTGTAATAGTGATACAGTGGTGGGTAGTGATCAGTTCACAGTACTTTATAGTAATTAATTGTAGTGTAATAGTGATACAGTGGTGGGTAGTGATCAGTTCACAGCACTGTATAGTAATTAATTTTAGTGTAATAGTGATACAGTGGTGGGTAGTGATCAGTTCACAGTACTGTATAGTATTTAATTGTAGTGTAATAGTGATACAGTGGTAGGTAGTGATCAGTTCACAGTACTGTATAGTAATTAATTGTAGTGTAATAGTGATACAGTGGTAGGTAGTGATCAGTTCACAGTACTGTATAGTAATTAATTCCTACAGGGTCTAATATCAATACCATATTCACAGTAGTGTAAGTGTCACGGTGTCACTTTTATTATTGTTCTCTCAATGGGCCAAATACTGTTTTATAATTCACAGATGACAAGACTGTGAATAAAGCGAAAATAAAATTTTGCATAACATTTTGCCACTATACAATAATGAGCAAGTTCGACAGATAAGTGTCCTGGACTGTCTGAGCATGGATGAACAATATTCTGCTTTGTGATATTTCCACGAATGATCGAGGAACAACATTCTGCTTTGTGATATTTTTCCACAACTTGGTTGTGTCGGACGATATTTACATGTAAATATTGTTTATATGTTTTACACTGTTTTCTACCAAAATGTTTTTGTATCATAAAACTGTAAAAGAAACTATTAAATTTAAGATGAGAATGTGTCGAAATATTTTTTCATTGTTTTCAATTGTTTGGTCTTGTCATAGGTTTCTTAGCGTTATATATTTCTGTGCGGTCATTGTCATCAAGCTGTATCTTGTGACTACATGACCTGCTTGACAATACATGAGGATATTTTAAACTTTTGCGCATCTTCTGTAAACTGACAAAACTTAACACAAGTTCACCTGCAGAATTCAAAACTCAAGCATAAAGTATGGTTTACGCTTATACACTTTTTGTCTTGCTCAAAATAATATTTCACTCCTTGGCCAGTCTTATTTAGCCAATCACACCTTAGCCAGTATTATTTAGCCAACCACAATCATGTTGAGAGTTGAAGTTTGTTTGTGCTATTTCTCAACAAGAGGCCCACTGGCCTTAACGGTCACCTGATATATGTATACAGAGAGTTGATTTTGTTTTTAACATGTACAGAAATATTATTCAAAGTGACAAAAAAAATAAAATCACCTTATTCAATATCTAGCATACAGATTTAAGACTAAAAAGAATTTGAAACTAGCACCTCTGATTCTAAACAAGGAAAATGAAATCTTAGCACACTGACTCCTTTGGGCCCCACCCTACAGCCCTTGGGGGTAGGGCTGGCTCAAAATTTTCAAAGTATCAAACTGTCAACTCAAGGTTATAATTCCAATCAAGTTATTAACATGTAATATTCAAAGTATCATTTGCCATTATAAACCATAATAAAT